TTAAGATGCGGGTACTATGAAGAAGGCAATTTCGGAAGTGATTTTTCATTTATAACTCAAAATTACAGGCTGATTTTTATTAAATTGTCATGAGAGTTTGCCGTCGACGCTAATATCATTAAATATTGGCTAGACTACCACGGATTCTGAACTTTCTATATCAGCAGCTACTATGAGTTTACAGTTATTTCCCAATGCGTATTTACTGTTATAATGCTACACCATTACTTTCAATTTTCACCATCCTAGTACAGACAGATCAGAGGATCTTTGCCAAAATGTTTGCCTATGCTTTGTGTCGGTTCGAGTCGCCTACTAACACATCAAAGCTATGTATTTATGAGATGGAAACGTATATTTAACACAGCTGCTTAAGGTATACACTATTGTGGAGGAAAGTATCTTTGAGACTTATCCGGGGGAAATAACGCATAACGGTTTGTAGGGAATATGGATTAACGAAAATATTGGATAATTTGCCAGAATTATATCTGATCGAATGTGGGTAGTCCAAAGTGAACCACTGGCAGTCAAAATTCATGAGGCTAGGGTTTCTCGGATTACTATTGCCAGTTTAACCGTATAAGACTGAGGCTCCTTGGCTAACATTGTCAGTCACAACTTATGAGGTTAGGGCTTCTCGAACTAGCATTGCCAGTCAAAATCTACGAGACTGAGGCTTCTCAAGTATCATTGCCAATCAAAATACATAAAGCCAAGGCTCCTCGAACTAGAAATTAATAAAATAGTATATTGTTCAGGATGTGTTTTGAAAGATGATGTGAGAAGTATGTCTAGATTGTATTATTAAATATAGAAACTTATCTGTGATGCACTTCTAGCTTGTAGGTAATTTTATTACAATTATTAAAAAAGCAGTGGATCTAGTCTATTCTATGAAGTTCTGTGCATTTGGGTTTTTGTTTGCAAAAGTGGCGCCGGACGAAGAACATTAATGAATAAAATGATAATTACAACAGTTGGGAATAAACCCTGATAAGATAACCTAAGAGCTGAAGTGAAATACGCACTAAAAACATTAGCAAATGTCACAGACCCAGCCCAAAATAATCGTAACAAATTTTGTTTGGCCTGGAAAAAATTATCTTATACCAAGAACATGGGTAAATGACAGATAAAGTCATTAGGCATTTGCGAACTAAATTATTCAAGACCCTCCGGGTCGACGAGGCGCTGTCCACAACAATGGGACACCGGGTGCGCATGGAGAGATTCCTTCAAATAACTGATGGTTAAGTCGATTCGCAGTGCTTGTAGACAGAATTTAATCTATTGGGTCTTTACCAGAGAAACAAGTATAGTAGTTCATTGCTGTGCCTGTATGAGGGTAAGGTCATAAACAAAACAATTTGAAGACCAAGCAGTGCATCTATGAAGGCTTCATTGATTTTTTTAAGGAGGTTAGGACTACAAAAAGCGACTGTGATGGCTGTTGCAACTGAAAGGTTTTCAACTTATCATTGGTTATGTACTTAATGCTTTTGCATAGAAAACCAATTTATTGATTAATGTATTTATTGATTAGAACCTTTACACATATAAAATCATTTGGGTTTATTAATAATTAAGAATATATTAAATGTTATTATTTATCAGATGTTTGAATAATTCAGTTAAATTATATGATACACTTGTGGAAGTACAAGCAATTTTTGAAAGGGGTATTCCACTATTAATAACATACATGTTTTACAATCGTCTAAAATACCTAAAACATATGAATAACATGTACTTAATTTAGTTGACAAAATAGAGTCGTGATGTAATAATCTATTACAATCTCCCAATGTAAATTCTTTGGTCGAGAAAGGTATCTAACTATAATTGACAATGCCTCTTGTCGAATTTCAGTCAACAAATTAAGTATTTAGGCGGACAGTCATCTCCACAAAATAGATCCGAGAAAATATGTATTTATTGCAACGAAGCTGAATTTCATTATTTGTCTAATTTGTCAGAAGCAACATATTCATCAAGTTTCCAACATTTGATAAATTTATATCCTTATTTAATATAACAATCCATAATGAGAATTCTTTCTATATTTATTTACCATGATATAAATAAACGTGCTGCTGTGGCCTGAAAAATGTAATTATAATTTGTTATATATTCAGCGCTATAGTAAAGATACATCATTTATCCAGTTATCTATATTGTATTATTTTTCAATAATATATATTTTATCTCACAATACACACCCCAGTAATAATTCTTCTTTTGCTGACTCTTGTTGGAACCATTTAACACAAGCTTGAATACTCAGTCGTGTATGCACTCCATCAATATAATATGTAACTTTATCACGTTTTATAGTCTGCGAACGCCCTGGCCAAAAAC